GATGTAATCGAGCGACATGGTAGGCAAAGCCTTGCTGGGGCCACGAGCCGGGCGCCTGTTTCAACTCTTGTCCACGGGTGGGAATTAACATCCTGCTTCCCCAAGGAATCTCTAAAGACCGCTTCGGAAGTTCAGACCTTACCTGCCGCGCGACTTACAAGTAACAGTCCAAGGGTTGTGGGAAAACTTCCCAAGGTGGCAGAATCCAGAGTCACTCACGCATGTGGACAACTCAACTCAGGCCTTTGACTTTTAGTCAGCATAATAACACGTAAAATCAGTATTCAGCTGCCTGCTTACAAGTCACAACATGTCTCGTGTGGAGAGGGTGTCATCTTTTATTGGCCATGAACAGCGTCAGCTGCAACTTGCAAGGTCTAAGTGTCTAATAATGCCCTGCCCTGCCATTGTATCTGAGAGACTGTGGCTGTAAAACCTAATCAACCAGAACTCAATTCTTCAGAAAGATGGCCCACCCAGTTCATCAACAGAACTGGGAAGTTGGCACTAATATGCCCCCTAACCAGAGCGGATGCAAGATCTTGCAGATGTGGACAGTTCACAGGCAGCCACACCGGCGGGGGAGGAGGGGATCAACCACATATAGGTTATTACACTATGTACATGGCTCATCACATTCACATGACTAGATTGAACAAGGAGCGGACTTGAAAAAAAATGTCTCATGCATGCAGAAGCAGCAGGCAGTCAGCCTGTCAAGACGGCATATGAGAAACTCCTTTCTTGCTCACTAGAGAAATGCTGCAGATAACAGACAAGGGGGCAGCTCAGTGGCATTTCATTTCATGAAAACAGGCAGCATTGACTGAACGCGACTGTTGATTGATGTTCAACACTAGTACTAGGCTTAGCATCTACGAATCCATAGATACGCAATGAAGACTCGACGTGTCCTTGCAGTGATGGGCTAGGAAGTGTCCACAAGGACCCTGAGTGAGCTGTTTGCTGCCCAGGTGGCATTGGAGCAGATACCTAGGAAGTGCTCCTGCTCCACCTAGTGATTCCGTGGTATATCTATCTACCTCTCGGTTGCATCCAGCACATACGACCACAGGGTGTGGAGAACAGGGCTTCCCGTCCGCTCAGCCGTACTTAAGCCACACGCCGGCTGGTTAGTAGTATGGTGGGTGACCACATGCGAATCCCAGCTGTTGTATGTTTTTCTTCTTTTTTTACTCGAGGTATATAATATTCTACTGGCGGCATCTCTGACAGGAAGCCAGGGCCGAGAACCTGAAAGGAAGGTAAGGATAGGTATCACCATCCCAGCTAGGCACAGTAACTGGTTAACACCTACACACTACTATCTAATACGCAAATGCCTGCATAAATACCACATGAGGTGGATGGGATCACCATCCATCCAGATGATTCCTATGGAGGGAGAGAGACAGAGAGAGCTAAGCAGGATACAACTCTCCTTCCCTTCGCTGAATCGCCCCCAGCCCCCAAAGTCAGTCAGTCAGTCAGTCTCTCATCCACTCATCAAAAAAATGCGTCACCAACGGATCATAACTCGCGTTCCCATACGCATCCCCTCCGTAGGTGAGATACCCCTGGACCAAATGCGGCGGCGTCCCGCGGGTAATCTCGGCCGCGTTACCGACGACCCAGACCGACTGCATGCCCATGATCATATGCTGGAGGATATGGCAGTGGATCATCCAGACCCTGCACACAATCAACACCTATCTGCTGAGGCGCGGGGAAAGGGGGAAGAGAAAGGAAGCTCACCCCGGATTCTCCACCTTCAACCTCCAAGCCCGCCATCCCTGGCTCGTATAATCAAGCCCCAGCCCCTCATCGTCCGTCTCGGTGTACTTATGCAGCAGAGTCGTATCCCTCAGAATAGGACTATACCCACCGGCCCCCGCCAATCTCTCCTCATTCGCCGTGGCATTATACGTCCCGGGCCCGGATCCCAAATCCCACACGTGATCGCCGTGGATATGCCACGGGTGGGCGTCAAAGCCGCCCGAGACGCCATTCGGCTCATTGACGAGGATGATGTCGATGACTTCGCCGAGTCGGGCCGCGTAGACGTTCAGACGCGGGTCCCAGCCGCCGTGGTTCTGGATGGCGGCCTCGTAGTCCGGGATTGCGGCGTCGCCGGACCGGAAGATGTCGACGAGGTAGGGGGCGGCCGGGTGGATGGTTGTGTCGTTGTAGGCTTCGTTGTCCTCGTGCTGGTTCTTCTCTGTCCAGGTGCGGTTGTTGATTGTCCAGTAGCGGCCGCTGGGGACCAGGAATTGCGCGGAGGTGAGGTAGACCGTGCGGGTGACTTGGCTGGCCGGCGGGAAGCCGTTGGGTCTCAGTGGGCGAAGCGTGTTTTCGAGCCAGTAGGGGGCGTCGTAGGCGATTGAGATGGGTTTGGTGGTGAGTGGTGGTGGTGGTGGCGATGCTCTATCTGTGGTGTGCCAGGAGACGTTGTAAGAAAGTAAAGCGTAGTAGGTGGCGTTGACAGGTCGACAGCGCGATTCCAGCTGCGTCCAGAACATCGTCTTCTCCAGACGCCGCAGCTCAGCTTCGGGTTTTGTGCGCAGGAGGAAGTCGAACCGCTGGCCGCCGGAGACGACGATGTGGTCGGTGTGGGCGGGCTGTGTGTAGCCGGCGTCCACGGCGATGACGGTTAGGTTGTCGTGGTCCTCAAAGGCAAAGGCGAGGGTGCTGAGGGCCACTCCCCCAATGGCACGGATACGGTACGTCGTGTCTGGCTGGACGGTGATGATTTCTGGTGTACATGACGAGGACAGTCCGCTGCTGGGGTCTGACGTGTCGACAACCGGGTATCCTTTTCCGTTGAGGAGGATTGCTTCGGACTCTCCGGTCCAGGAGAACTTGCTGATCGGCTCGGTGAGATCATCGTCGACGGCTTTGTCGGTCTTGTTGAAGAGCTCGGAGAAGAAGAGGATCTTCTCGTCGTCGTACTCGTACGGTGGCTCTTCGCCATGCGCTTCCTGGACGATCAGCGCTCCTGCAGCCGTCACAGCCTTGAAGCCGATGTGCGAGTGGTAGAAGTATGTCCCGGCCTCTCCGATCCTGGGACGGATCTCGTAATCGAAGAAGTGCTTTGCCTGTGCGCTGGTCAGTACAACGAGGAGAACGGCGCAAAGCAAACGCACCTTGATCGGCCATTGAGTGACCTGCGGTGTGCCATCAGAGTACGGAGCCGCAGACTGGCTCAGTCCATGCCAATGCTAGACCTGTTAGCCTGGCTGCTGTGATGGATTGATGACAAGTGCTCACCATTGTGTAATTGTCCTCTGCTAGGTCATTGTATACCCGCACCCATGTGGTCTGGTTCTCCCGCATGTAGATCGGCGGACCAGGCAGTGTCCCGTTGACCAAGACAGACGACCGCTCTCTACAGGCCACAGACGCCGTTTCCTGCGTGATCCGGAGTACGTAGTGCGGCCGGAAGTGGCTGTCGTGTACCATCTGACGCTGTGCCGGCGCACATGGTATGACTGTAGCCAGCAGAATCCACAATCCAACATAACATGCCATGCTTTTCACACCTGTGAATCCGGATTCCGACTAGATCTATATACTGAGAGCACCGACGCCGCTGTAATCAAGAATATGCACCCGTTCTGCCTCTAACCCATCTATATACTCACCTCGAACCCAACATGTCAAGCTAGGCAGCGCATTTTTACTTCTCCTGGGGTAATGGCCTTGATACTGATCCCACTACAGACAGTGAAACAGAGTCTGACTTCCCAATCCGGCTCCAGGTGAGATCTATAGCGGACCCGCGTATATGTATCGCAGGCAGGGATGTCTTCTCCACGACACCGCAACGAGCACTGACCTCGAGTTACCCTTTCGGACACTTGATTCGACAGATGAAAAAAATAAACATAGACAGGCTTCTCAAAAGGCTAAGGCTTGGATACTGAGGCAGATAAAGTCCGGCCAACACCAATAAGCAAACGTGAACCTGCTTCTTCGCCCATAATTGAAGCCCAGATCCCGACATCGTACTAGAAATCCAGCAAGGTCACCGCTAGCTGAGAAATATGGCTTCACGGTTACTTCATGCCGAAAGGGTCGAGATGCGGGTTGGCAGGCATGTGCATCTGGTGTTGTATGTTCCACGGTACAATAGGTACACAAAGCAAAACCGGCGTACTCGGGCCTGTCGACTCATTGGTAGATTGTATTCGGCAAGGTTAGCTAATACACATGCTCTCCTCGGGGTCTTCACGATACCATCTAGGTATGTGTCGGCACGTTGGACTCTTCGAGGTGAGTGAGTCCGACACATCTGGGTGAGTTGGGCTCAGTGACTTTGTCCACGTTTGCGCCACGATTCCATGTCAGATGGGAGAAAGCTAACTTTATTGGGCGTGCATTCGCCGGGGCCTTTCCAAGGTTGTTGTCCCGGTAGAGTTGGATGTTCCTGAACCTTCCCGTGAATGCCAGAGGTAGGGAACGCGTTCATTGAAAAACTGTCAGGAGGTCCATATATCGGCTTTAGATGCCTCTATAGCATTTTTCCGCTCTTTTACTCTAGTATGTTCTGGGCCATGGGCAACGCTACCGTGACAGATAACCAGTTGATCTAGGGTTATGGAATGCACGTGCTCACTTCACCACAGAAACTCAACCTTGGAAACCTGCAATGGGGTCTTTCTTGTATTAGCCCCTTATTTGAGCATTTCAGCATCTGAAGGGTGACAGTTGGGGGCAAGAAATTGAATAGTATATGAAACTGGGGCGTCCTTGCGATCCTATCAGGTCTGATATTGATCATATAAGAACCAGTACACATGAGGAGACCATCCATCATTCCCGCACTGGAGAATCGTGAAACGGTCAGCTCCTATTGAGGGGACCCTATTGAGACACTGCTGTAGGTCTCATGATTTGCCCCCGGTGAATCCAGCAGAGTAAAAGAGAAACCCGCCACCCAAAAAGCAAACCAACGCCTCCGCCAAGTGCATGTCGTATGGCACCGGCAAAAACAAAAAAAATGACAAGGGTGGGATTCGAACCCACGCTCATTTCTGAACACGGAAACTCGAAGTATTGACTTCAGTTTTAAAGATTCAGTAACCTGAACCGTGCGCCTTAGACCACTCGGCCACCTTGCCGGTTTATATACACTCGATGCCAGTCTAGTGCTCTAGGTTCCGGAGCAATCGATCAGGGCGGACCTAATTGAAATGAAGGGTCTAAATCCGTTGTATACACCTGAGGTGCCTGCATGGGAGGATACAGGAGCAAGCGTGGTGAAAACCTGATATCTTTGAATGAGATGCGTATAGTGAGGACGAATAGACAGACTGTACACCATATGAGCGGTCGCAGATGGAATCTGAGTGTGGGTTGAACGTGCTGCTTTGCTTGCCTTATTCTCCCGAAGATATCCGCCCTAGCGAGGAAAGGCTGAGAATATGTATTTGTCGTATTGTACCAGATTCATGCAGCATCTGATCGAGGACTGTTGATCAGGAAGGAAGGAATGTTGTCTTTGGTGATAGTCGACATCTCGACATCCCTGCAGTGTGACAATTGGCAGGCGGAGCAAGGGTCGTGGCGGAGAGTAGTTAAAACAACACCACGAAGCAAGACGCGTTATTCTGTATTCTAGGAACTTAATCTAGAAAACAATCAGAAGTGAGCATAGGGAAACATCTGCAGGGGGCGGGCGAATAAAATAAAAGCGAGGGAGGCGGCTGGAAAATCTGAAGTCAACAACAAG